TCCAGGAATCCACTAGACAGCTTAAAGCTTGTATGAATGGTGCGTGTTTTGGCCCTCCCGCAGAGGCCCACGGGTGTGGTTCACGCCTCAACATCTCCGCTCTCCTTGAACAGAGCCTGGGTTGTAGATTCTCGCCGACCCCCTTTGTCACTGTCCTCGCGCCTTCAGGCGATGTGACACACACACGTTCCGTCCTCAGAATTTTTGAGGCGTTTACCAGCTGATTTCTCCTCTTCTTGGATTTCCTATTCCCTGCCGCGTTTAGCGCTCTCGCTCGCCTTCAACAGAGCCCTGGTTGAGGATTGTCGCCGACCCGCTATCTAAATTTTCACGCACATTCATCTCTTTTTTGCGCTATGTTGTGGTTTGTTGAGCTATGTTGTGCAAACTTGTGCTCAACATGAACTGATGAAGCACGAATTGATATTTCACAACGGCTCGTAGCATAAGCGATACCTTCCCTTAACGTAGAGTGCTCTAGTTATCGTTATTAAGCCTTACCAGGGTATCATGGTCTCGCTTTTTTGGGGGGAGGGGGAGGGCGTGAGTGCGCTCGCTGCCTTTTGAATTTATTAACGCCCACAAAATTTGGACAGTACTTTTGGGGGTCGCTTCTTTCAAGAGGTCGTTACTTTGGGAAATTTATGGTATCTCGTTTATTAGCCTCAATGGGGTGACTTAATAATAGTTAGAAGAATATCTTTAAAAATACTCGACCGCTTTTAGAAATCTATAGATAAATGAGCTTGGATAGTTTATTTGTATGTTCTCTTTCCTGTGTTCCTCAAAGACCAACATCTCCAAATTCCAATTCGATCCTAAAATGCACGGGGACCACTAAGCATTCAAAAATTTTTCTTCTGTCCATTTCACTGAAAACCAAAGTCTTCTCGAATTAGTATAGAGTCCCTAGGACTGGGAAATATCGCCCAAGTTCCTGGAAATCGGCCCAAAGTTGGTCAAAATCACGCTGCGCTTAGCCCGGTGTCGAGGACTTTCAAGTCAATAAGTGAGTTGATATTTCGGCAAGACTGCTCATAAGTAAGCGTTCAAAAATTTTTTCTCTGTCCATTTCACTGAAAACCAAAGTTTTCTCGAATTATTTTAAGGTCCCTAGGACTGGGAAATATCGCCCAAGTTTATGGAAATCGACTCAAAGTTTGCCAAAATCACGCTGCGCGTAGCCCGATCTCGGCGACTTTCTAGTCACTAAGTGCGTTAACCAGGGGCTATATTTCGGCCAGACTGCTCATAAGTAAGCGTTCAAAACTTTTTCCTCTGTCCATTTTGCTGAAAACCAAAGTCTTCTCGAATTAGTTTAGAGTCCCTAGGACTGGAAAATATCGCCCAAGTTCCTGGAAATTGACCCAAAGTTGGTCAAAATCACGCCGCGCGTAGCCCGGTCTCGGCGACTTTCTAGTCACTAAGTGAGTTAATATTTCGGCCGGACTGCTCATGACTAAGCGTTTAAAAATTTTTCTTCTGTCCATTTTACTGAAAACCAAAGTCTTCTCGAATTAGTTTAGAGTCCCTAGGACTGGGAAATATCGCCCAAGTTCCTGGAAATCGACCCAAAGTTGCTCAAAATCACGCCACGCGTAGCCTGGTCTCGGCGACTTTCTAGTCACTAAGTGAGTTAAAGAGGGGCTATATTTCGGCCAGACTGCTCATAACTCAGCGTTCAAAAATTTTTCCTGTCCATTTCACTAAAACTAAAGTTTTCTCGAATTAGTTTAGAGTCCCTAGGACCGGGAAATATCGCCCAAGTTCCTGGAAATCGACCCAAAGTTGGTCAAAATCACGCTCCGCGTAGACCAGGTCTCGGCGACTTTCTAGTCACTATGTGAGTTAATATTTCGGCCAGACTGCTCATAACTAAGCGTTTAAAAATTTTTCTTCTGTCCATTTCACTGAAAACCAAAGTCTTCTCGAATTAGTTTAGAGTCCCTAGGACCGGGAAATATCGCCCAAGTTCCTGGAAATTGACCCAAAGTTGCTCAAAATCACGCTACGCGTAGCCCGGCCTCGGCGACTTTCTAGTCACTAAGTGAGTTAAAGAGGGGCTATATTTCGGCCAGACTGCTTATAACGAAGCGTTCAAAAATTTTTCCTCTGTCTATTTCACTGAAAACCAAAGCCTTCTCAAATTAGTTTAGAGTCCCTAAGACTGGGAAATATCACCCAAGTTCCTGGAAATCGACCCAAAGTTGGTCAAAATCCCCAAAATCACGCTCCGCGCAGCCCGGTCTCGGCGACTTTCTAGTCACTAAGAGAGTTAATATTTCGGCCAGACTGCTCATAACTAAGCGTTTAAAACTTTTTCTTCTGTCCTTTTCACTGAAAACGAAAGTCTTCTCGAATTAGTTCAGAGTCCTTAGGAATGGGAAATATCGCCCAAGTTCCTGGAAATCGACCCAAAGTTGGTTAAAATCACGCTGCGCTTAGCCCGGTCTCGCCGCCTCTCTAGTCACTAAGTGAGTAAATGTTAATATTTCGGCCAGACTGCTCATAACTAAGGACCCGCGGGCATTTATGAACGAGTTCTTGTGAAATCCTTGGTGCTCCGTGGGTAAACAACTTACATATTTACATAATTAGTTTTTATTCTCCTACCTACTGTTCCTCTGTTCCTACCATTCCTACAGTTCTTCCGATCCTCTGTTCCTATTTTTCCTACTGTTCGTGGCTCTACAGTTTCTGCTCTTTCTCTGTTCC